CGCGAGAATCTTCTACAACTTTAAAGAATAGGCGGGAGTTTCGCAAATACATATTTAACTGTATAAGTTATGTACACTTGTAAATATAAATTTAATTCAAGCAAACATTGATATTAAAATAAACACATAATAATAAATCCGTCAGAGCAGGATTTACTATATTGGTTTACTAATAAATAAAAACATTTTAAATACTAACTATAAGTGAAGATCTTCAGTGTTTTGACATTATTGATGGAGTTAAATATAACTATGTTGTTTGACTGATAAATAAAAACATTTTAAATACTAACTATAAGTGAAGATCTTCAGTGTTTTGACATTATTGATGGAGTTAAATATAACTATGTTGTTTGACTGATAAATAAACACATTTTAAATACTGACTATAAATGAAGATTTTCAGTGTTTGACATTATTGATGGAGTTAAATATAGCTATGTTGTTTGACTAATAAATAAACACATTTTAAATACTGACTATAAGTGAAGATCTTCAGTGTTTTGACATTATTTATAGAGTTAGATATATTAGGTATGAAGTATATTGCAAAAATGAAGTCAACAGGCTGAACTATTACCTTGTCATTTGTATCTGTAAATTATGTGTGCTTGAAATGCTTACGCTGTACGATAATATATAAATGAAAATAAAACGGTTGAATGTCATTTTGTTCATTGTCTGAAGTCATACACTTCTTAAAATAAATATGTAGCCTAATATACCATTCGACTCGCTACTTGTCATCGAGTTATATCGGTTTTAAGGAATTCCACCAGTCATCAGTAACCCTGTGGTGGTGAGAAAAATGACAACTAAAAGCACTCTGCAAATAATATACAATGCATCACTACAAGAAACCTAGTCTTGTTTTTCTTTTTCGATTTGCTCTTGTCCAGGGTTACTGGTGAGGGATGGGATTTCCTGAAAGTGATATAACTCATTGACAAATGGTGAATTGAATGATAGATTGGAATTTTAGTATCATACAGTTTGTCTGTTGAACAATTCGGAACAGTTTAGTAGCATTAATGCTACTCTTCAAATACTATATAAATATGGCTTCATTGTGGTGAGGAAAAGGCAACTCAAAACATCCTGCATATAACATACATTATTAAGTCCTGAAACTTATCAGTTTTCTTTTCGTTTTTGCTGTTATTTAACTTGCTGGTACTAGGAATATTTAATTCCAGTACCCTACATTCGTATCCA